CCCCAAAACCCCAAAACCCCGGAATGCTTAATCAATTAAATTCCATAAGAAATTAAAATCAAATTTTTCAATATAATATCAATATAAATCTCTATATTAACTAATATAATTTGAAGCTCATTTCCAATTTTAAAATTGTTGATTACCTTGTGAACTTCTCTAATTTTTATTCCATCCAAGTGTTATCCCCTTAGAGGGAGAATTTTTACTTACATTTACGATTTCATCATCGCTAATTTACTAATCTTTTATCCCTTAGTCAACTTCAGCTCTACCTTAGAGTATATTTAAGCTATTTTTTCTTCTTTAATACTGAAGGTTATTTTACTATTAGTTTCTAAGTTATCTTCTTTTTATTTAGTCAATAACATCCTATGGTTATGATGTTTTTTCCTCTTCTTACATTTTATTATCTTCTGACTTCTCAAATTCATTCGATAACTTTTAAATTGTCATATTAGGAATACTCCAATTACTCTAATCTTACTTCTCATTCGCATTGATTATTTAAGATTTCACATTTTTCTCATTACGTTTAAGGTTTTTAATGAGTATTCCTAAGCTTGAGCGTCTTTTGGTAACTTTAATTTCAGGGCTAAACAAATATGTGTCTGAGAAAATAGACTCTTTAGTTAAATCAAATCTGTCGTTATTAGACACTGATGTATTGAATATAGAATTTTAGTTAATGTTTTCGTATGCTGAATAGTCCTATTCTGCTTTCTAAAATTATTCTAGTTTTGAAACATATATTTATTATTTATCAATTTTCTTAGGTGATCTAGCATGATCACTTAGAATGTTCTTCAATGTACTGTTCTAAAAAGTTCTATAATTTACTTTGTTTTAATAATCAATATACTTACCTTGCCAAAGTATCATCCTCTGAATAAAATTATTCCTTGCTCTCATTTCTTTTCTCATCTTGAACTCTTGCATTTTTAATTTTGCTTTCTTGCTTTTTAGGCTTTATGTCCTCTCTGAATATGAATTGGAAAAATATTTTAAGCATTGAGAATATATTTTTAACCATCTCACCAATCATTGCTAAGAGATTTAAAGCAACACAAGCGGTGATTACCATTATAATGATATAAGAAACATCCTCCCTTTCTGAATCAGATTTATCATCTTAATTGAAATAAAAGGAAGCGATAAAGCAAAATAAAATAGTAGTCTCATTATAAATTGTAAGGAAGTTAGAGATAAATGTTTTAAATGGACGTATAGCAATTGCCCATAGTAGAACAACCAAAGTGATAAATGCGCTGATTGATAATTATAATACTCCGTTCTTTTGAAATAGCACTATAGTAGCTGCATACATGAATCTTCTGATAAAAAACAGAGGAATCCACATGTTAATAATAGTTTTGTTAGGTCTGACTCTCTAATTGTCAATTAATGCACCATACCTATGATCAAATTCCTCTAAATGTAATTTGTCAAAGTTTCTCATAATCACATCAGTTAAGTTCAATGGTAAAACTGTTATTAAAGTCTAATCAAATAAATAAAAAAACTATATATTATTACAAAAAACAAAAGCCATATGATTGTCCCTGTTATTTAGTATATGTTTGCATATTAAATCTATTAATAAATTATCATAAAGTGTCAATTAGTTACATTAAAAATACCAATCAAGCATAGAATACACATTTCTAAATATAGTTCAATAAAAGCCTGTATTGCAAAATTAAATCTGTAAAATCCTTCAATCCTGTATAGTAGTCTTGTTTTTATACTAATTAAAATAAGTTAATTTCCAAAAGCAAAATCAATAAATCTATTACCAATCTTTTCTTTTATAAAGTTTGTTAATCAAGTGGAACATTGGATAACCACCAATAGCGATAATCCATATTATAAGCTTAGGCTTATATATCAAAACGAAAACGGTCCCTTATATACCAAAATCATAGAAAGCTTCGTTAAAAGGGAAATCATTATACTAATCATCTGCAAATAACCTATTGAATACATGCTACTCATCGTCCAGCCCAGGCACTGGGATGTTGAGAGTAGACATTTAAAGATTTTTAAGAGTATCTTTTAGAAGTTATGTGTAACGAATCTAAATTAATGGCATGTAGTATAAAATTTAGATAGTGTTTATCATCTCAAACATTTGGCCAAATGAACCTTGCCTAAAAATAGTGATTAATTATCTCAATAGTTACAATAGGAGTTTTAAGATATAACTTGTCGTTGCTGTAGCTACTAGTGTTTAAGTAGTCACCTATTTGTATCTGCTGATTACTTTGTTTAAATTAGAAATTGTATAATCCATTTTGAATAGCTTAATTTGAGCTTTCTACCCATTTGCTATAAGAGTCTCATATTGTTTTGACCGAAATAATTTTCCATCTGGCATTATTTAAATCTAGAGAATCTATATAAAGTTTAATATGCATGATTAGATAGTTCATTACCTCATTTCCCTTCAAGGAAGTTTTGATGGTTAATTTCACCTCTAGTTTGTTAAGTTTTACGAAATCCTTGTCAACAGAACCTTCCCAATCAATCTTAATAAACTGCCCATTAGGCTTCTTTATTTAAATATCCAAATCATTTTGAGATAATGCTCCTTCTTCTATTATTATTCTTTAGTCAAATGAGACAGTTAACAAAGAATTTTAATCATTAATCTTAAGTATTGGTTTGGGACCTTGAATCTTTACGCATTAAGTGGCATCACAGTTGAATCCTGATTCTATATTGCAATTATCATCACAACCATCTCCATTAACTAGATTGGAATCATCACATTAATGTATTCCTAAAAATAAGCCATCACCGCATATTTCATCACAAATTCCATTTATTTTTGGAGATTTCATGCCCTCTATTTCATCACACAAGAGACACTAGCCTTAGCTGAATTAATATGGATTTGAACATTTAGTGCAATTTTTATTTCCTGATCCCACGCAACTTTCACAGCTCTCATCACATTCCAAACATTCAAGATATACTGAGAGATACTCATTTCCTTAACATGTCGGCTCAAGACAACGACCATCATTAAAAGTATAATTTTGAGCGCAAAGCATGCATTCACCGTTTTTACCTCCATAGCATGTTGCACACTAATAGGCACAATCATCACACCTTAATCCGTTTTAATTATAATATGTACCATCTGGGCATCTTTCAATACAATCTGGTTTAGGAGTGGTTATATAAAGCCGATTAGAACCTAAGACACAGCTGTAACAGGCATTTTTATGATCTGCATCACAAATACAGTAAGGATTATCACATTTGTAGCATGTCAGAATATCCAAATCTGTTTGATATCCTTTATACCAATCTTAAGGGCAAATTAATAAGCATTGCTATCTGAATGTAATTATACCTATTTGACAATCATCGCAGTTATTGTACCAATATGTATTGCACGTAAAGCAAAGTGAGTAGCAATCTAGATAATAGTTCTCAAATGTTGAATTAAAATAGTAAGTGGTAGGAGGCTGGTAGCAATCAGGCTCCATAGGGCCAGAGCATTCTCTGTTGTTAAAACACGCTGGACTACATTCTGACCACATTTCACAGTGTTAGTCAACTAATTGAGTAAATGTTTCAAGACAATACAAAGCAGGAGTTTAAGATGTCACTGAATAAATCTGATCTTCAAATACCCAACTAATGGAACCTACTGGCTAAGTTATTGAGTCGGGGGTACTAGCATTTGTAGCTGTATTAAGCAAAGTATATCCAGAATTCTCATCTAATTTATAATAACCTACAAGCATATTATTATCCTTATTTTTAGTTTTCATCCCATAATTTGTAATCCAATAAGTAGATACGTAGGTTGAGTAAAATTAAATTTCCTTTAAGTATAAGTCATTATCAAGTGTGCTTGTAAAAGCACAAATCTTGTTTGTTGTCTCACTAGAAAAATCTACTTTGTATGCATCATTACCTCTCGATTCACTCTCTATAGTTGAACCACTTTGATATGCAATCACTATGTACAGTTAATCTAATTCATCGCAAAGTTTCACTGATGCTTGTATCCACTTTTTTGTAAATTTACTGTTAAGCATTTAGTCTAGCCTTTTCAATGTAAAAGCATTTAAACCATCTCTCAGAATTATAGAGTCTTGGGAGCTATCGAAAATTAAAGTAATCCTATCAGTAATTATTATAACAAATTAGTCTTTCAAGAGTTTAAAATATGCCCAAAATGACAGGGTAAAGCATTTGGAATTCTTGAGAGGGATTTTAAATTATATTTCCTAATTCAATTTTAAGAATCTCTAGTTACTTTCGCAAAACCCTAGATCAGAATATCTTAGGTCTCCGTTACACATTACTGGTCTAGATGGATAACTAATATGCTCATAATCAGTCAAAGAGAAAAAACTAAGTATCCCAGTCTTTTATTCTCTCACAAAGTAACCAAAAGGCTCAGTCAATGGATACAAAGCCGCTAGATTTTCATTGTTTAGACCTAGGTAAAATCCCATCTCATGGTGGATGCTCGACCGAGATTAGCCGAGAGATCTATATGCTCTGAATATTTTAACATGCCTCAAAAAGCCAGTAAATGAATTTGTATCATCTCCAATATAAAATGAAATTGGAGTTAAGGTATTAATTACATGAGAATAGCCCGAAAGCTTTGTTTATATCTCAGTTAATGAAGTGTTATCAATAGAAATATAGGATTTCTAGAATTTAACTGAATTAGCAACACTTACATACAACCATTTGTCCTTAAGATTGTTAGCTGTTTATGTAGGAGAAATAGTAATATAATTAGATAAATCAGGATAGAAATCCACAGTATTTTCACCTCTAAGCATTATTCGAGTAATCTGAGTAATACCAAGCACTACCTAGCTTGACTAGATATCTTTAAGGTATAAACAGAATTCAAGAGAAAATTCGTTTTGGATATTTTCAAGCATAGGAGCTAGTGTAAGTCTTTTAGTCTTCCCTTTTTAAAAATATATTCCCCTGTCTAAATATTGATGAGTAACGAAATCGAGAGTCCAAGTTTCTTCATTAAAAATTACTTATTCCCATTTTCTATCCCAGGTAGCATATCCTTACGTAACTGGAGTTGTCAAATTCATTTAGTTCTTATATATTGTGTCATCATAAAAATATTATCCCTTATCTTCATCCATTCTGTAGTAAAATAGAAGTGAGTATCTGAAATCATATGAAGAAATTCTTTTGTGAAAGCATTCCATCAACTAGCCAGGAAGTAGTTGCCTAGCAAATCCAAACACATTTTTAATCTTTAGCACATGACTTTTTAAAGTGACATCTCCTATTACTAATTAAGTCAACTTTCCATAATATGAATCTCTTGTATCTTCAATTTCGTCCTTAAACATATTTTTACTATAAATTTCCCAAAATCCTTGATTTGTTTTAACTGCTGCAACTGCAATCCATACTCCCTCGTCTATTTGAAAATTCATCGAGTTCTTTGAGAGGGGCGATGTAGAAGCCTTGAAAGTAATTATGTTTAAAGTTTTATCTTGTAGGACCTGAAGTTATAAAACGTTTTTTAGTTTGAAGAATTCAAGAGTACTGAGTGGATTTAATTTAACAACATTTAGCCATAAACCAGTCGTAAAATGATACTTAAAGTTTACAGTAGAACTGCTGAAAGCAGTATTGAAATTAGTATTAAACATTTTCATTGTTGATTTAGGCAAGCAACCACCAATAGTTTTATCATCCTAATCGGTATCACCTGGACAACCTTATGGTTAATGGACATAGGAAACACCGCCATTGACTGAATTGATTGATTGAAGTTAAAGAGTTTTAAGGTCATAAACTTAAAGACTAGTTCTTTCTGTCATATAGACTATCTTGTTCATAATCATACTATGATCATACTTTTGGCTAAATCTGCGAAATGTTAATTTAATAAAATGATTTTTACAATCTTTGCATTCTTGCTTGATAGAATGATTGATATTAGTTCACACTTGGGAAAATAATGATTGGATTTTTAATATAGATGTTCTAGTCTGATAAGGTAAGAGATCCAATCTTTAGCAACTTTAAGAGACCAACATCTTCCTTTGATTAAATAGCTAATTTATTAATAAATTTGAAACTTACCAATCTATATCTGCAAAACTTAGTTAAGGTAGAGCTATACTCTTTTTTGTTGGGGCTGAACATTTATCATAAAATCAATCGAGCCCGCATTATGAAAATAGTCTATTGTTTTTGAATCTGTTGCAGTTGTCATAGATATTACAGCATTTTTAAAATCTTTTGAAGTAAATTTAAGAAAATTATCAATCCATAGTTGCTCTCTAATATAAGTATATCCAGGAGGCTAATATTAAGGATCTAGTTAGTAAAATGTTCTAAATTCAAAAGCTAGAGTATAATCGTAGTTGTTATCATTATATCTGGATTCAATTTCATCTGATAAATTGAACTATACTTGATTGTACTAGTTAGCAATATAAATAGATCTTGCATTATATGGCTCACAATAAGAATAGCCATTGTAGAACTATCTAAAGCCAAGTGGGCAATTAGTTCTGATTCCAGTATCATACTTTATTCTGTAATCTACTAAGTCATCTTTAAGATTATACATACCGGTTACTTCATCTACAAAATTTAAATCCTAAAACTTAAAAAGAGCTGCAATTTCAAGATATCTTTTTGGTAAAGTCATCTTGTCATAATTATTCAATTCTATCAAATTTAAATCTTTATTCCAAATACGGAGTTCTTTAATACGGACTCTTAAATCATTATTCACTTATCCTGTCTTTGAGTTGGAAATCATATAATCACATGCAGCAAGAGATTAAAAGTTTCTTGAGCTAATTTTACTAGCATTATCAAGATTTAAATAGTGAAATGCAAAAGAGGATGCACTAGCTTGATTAGTAATTGTTATTTGATACCAAGTATTTTCACTAATAGCATTAATTACATTAAATTGAACATCTGTACTACCAGAGTTATCCTTTACAGTGGTTGAAAAATATCTATTTCCATTTGTCTCTCTTATAGTTGATTCTAGTTTACTTCCAGTATTTGTGCAAATATCAGAACCAATGATGGGTAAGTCTGGCCCCCCTGTTAATGGATCATTATAAGTGATATATTTGAAGTAGTAATCAAAAGTCCACTCCTTCGAATAGTATCTATTCGTAGATAAGTCAAGTTTAACTGGATTGTTTGTATTTACAAATTCAATAGTATAGTAAGTGTCTTGCTAAAGTACACATTGTCTTAAATCATAGTCATATATGTGGTTATGTTAACAAATTAAAGGCTGTTAATAGTTAGCAGTATAAAAATCAGAGTCCTCCCATCTTATTAATTTATAGTTTTAGGTGTGGTCATAATTAAATAACTCAACCTAGTAGCCATAGACATCATCTTTTAAAATGTTTCCCCACATTTCATCAAACGGATAGTAAGCTAAAAGTTTGTTGCTATTTCCAATGGATTTGTTCATATAAATGACATCAGAATAAGTATACACCTAGAAATCATTCCAAATTTTTAAATCATAAATTGAGAATTTTTAACAGATGCCTGGACAAATCGTTATCGCAGCCTTATTTGGAGATCCAAGATTTTCAGATGCTATATCAACGGTTTGTTAAAGATCATTGCCATCAGTATATATTTTCAAGCTATCTTCAACATCGAATTAGAATGAATAATGATGCCATGAAGATACTTCAATGCTACTCAATCTTACAATGCTTGCTTTAACTAATGTATCAATATAAACATTCTGATTTAGCGAAGGGTTATCCTCAGAAAATAATACCTTTAAGTCATTCTAGAAACTAATATTAAAAATATTTCCACTTTGTTATATATCTTATACCATCCAAAATTCAATCTATAATTTCTTAGTTGTTAATATTTCTTCGTAAATCTTTAAATCTAGATTGTTGTAACCTTCTAGACTTTAAAATATAAGATACTTTTTTGTTAGGCACTCATAGGAATCATAACCTTCGCCAAATTAACAAGTGGTTGGTATTCCTATAGAGCGAGAATATAAATCAATAACGTCAAAACTTTATCCATATTACCAAAATTCATTTACTTGTGAGTTGCCTTAACGAGAATATTCTTTACTTTATTAAGGAGAGTAGAAGAGCACCAGATTGCTATAGTAAATTTTAAAATTAGCTAGCCTGTTTGAATTTCTCTACAATTCGATTGAAGTAAGGTATTAATTCCAAATTGTGATTTAGAAGTAGTATGATAAACCATTAAATAAAAGATTATAAGAGCCCTCCAAAATTGGACTTATTGGTAGTCCATTCAATACCTCTCTGTATTAACAAAATAATCTCCTAACACCTTATAAATTATTATAGGTAATCGATATGTACTACCAAGTATTCAAAGAAAAGTATCTTTTATTAGATAATTTTTAGGATTATGTCACCGAATTAACCACTTACAGATACCTTTGATTGATGACATTTAAAATCATTTATCCGTCAATATTAAATATTGAAGTACTAGTTGTAGTATATACCCAGAACTATATAGAATACTCAATCAAGTCTTTCTCAATTATGATTGGAATTGAGTTCTTAATATCAAGAGTTTATGTTGATCTTCTCATTTAAACTATTATATAGCATTTATCGAGGATAATTAAGCCTTACTTATTTGATCATGATTTATAGAGGTATCTGGAGAATTTGCTGTATACATTAAATATGATAAATCATCGGTAGGATCAAAAGTTTCGTATTCTAAATCTTGAGAAGTTAAGTCATATCTTAAATCATATTCTACACCGATATTATTAATAGGAGGAGCACTTTAAAGAGGATTATAGTATACTAAACCAGGCATATATAGTTTGTATCTAGTAAATTAATAATATTATAAATCTTACTTTTAACGCATCATTTTAGTTATGTCACTAGGAGTATAATCATTTTGAGCAAAAATAACTCTTACATGCTGTATATAGCCTGTCCATTAATTATCTACTGAGCTTGCACTGCATCCGATACTGATAATGTTATCTATAACTTAAGAAGCAATGGAGTGCGAGGCTGGACCTGCCACTTTAACTCCACTAGAATATGTTTGAATAGAATTTGAACTAGCTATTGTGAATAAAAAGCAGTAAGTTTAAGAAGTACAATCTCCAGAACTAGAAGAATCTTATGATATAGCGTTTGCCCCTGTAATACTACCTAAAGAATTCCTACCATATATTTCACCTCCCATTCTCAAAGTCTTATAGCTTGGAGGTGTTGGACTATTTTAACCTAATAAGGATATATGTCCATCGTTTTGAGATCCTACTCTAACGTATGTGAAATATGCATTTGATATGGATGGAGAAGATGTAACTCTTACCCAAGCACCAATACCAAGATACATTCCTGATGCTACATTACCAGTAAAAGGATCTAATATTTAAGAATTGTCCCAATTAGAAATATAGCAATCACCAAATTTTTTTTCTCTAAAATAAGCCTTAGCGCATTGCAGATTTAAAGGCTGATACTGATTTGTATCGTTACACAGCATTGGACTATATGGATCATACCTCCATTCAAAATATACAGCTCTTCTCTCGGAGCCTTAATAATTCACCTGGTTCTTTATAAAATATATGTCATCTTGAATCTAGCCATAATTTTGTTCTGAATCTAATCTATTATATATCAATGCCTGATTCTTATATTTAAAGGGTGTGCTAAATTAAGATTTAATGTATGATGAAGGAATAAAATTTGATAGAGATTATAATTCTATCTGTAATTAATGAAACTTACAAAGCAACAACTTTTTGCTGATTGATAGATATTGCATCATTAATAAAAGTAAATTCTTTAAGTGATATCGTATCCTTCACATCTACATTAAGATTAATAGCAGTTGCAGGTGTAGTATCACTACAGTCTCCATGGCTGTTTGAGTAATACTCTCTCTGTTTATAATCACCAAGTCCATTGATAACCAAACTGCCTGCTTATTAAGATACTGAGGTAAAAGCTATATGATACCAGCCTTGACCTAATTTAAATCCATATTAAGTCTGAAATGGTGTAGTAGAAGAATCAAAGCAAAAGCTGAAAGAATAGTACGAACTGACTGCGACTAACTCATCCTTCACCAGTTTTATATACAAAAGTGACTTAGTTTATGAAGGCTCTCCTGAGGATGAAATAGTTACAGACCCATCTTATTTTTAAGAGAACTGAATTGAGGATATTTACGAAGAAAAATTATACCCAAAACATCACAGAGAATTCATTCTTCAAGTAGACCACTTGTCCAAGTTTAATTATTTGCCCAACTGAATCCTAGTAAGGGTACAAAGAAAGATGATCAACTAAAAATGTTTAATGAGTATTTTATACTTCTGCATTGGAGTCCATCAAAATATTAGCCATTCTTGCATAAAAAATATTTCAAATGATTATATTAATAGGAAATCGTCGAAGGTATCTATAAAATTACAATTAAACGGGTATTCGTTATTGATAGACTTTTTGGATTAAGGAAAATAATTAGCAAATACTTACCTAATGTTTAAAGAGATTAACTAGATTGTCATCAAAATAATATCTTTAAGTTACATCATACAAATAAAATTTGGAATAGGCATCTGTCATTGTGATCGAATCTGGGCTTGTTAATTTATAGTAAGCAACTAAAAATGGATACTCAGTTGGAATACTAATAACTCCTTATGAGTTTTTAAGTACCATATAGATGAAATTCCTATCATTAATGTCAAATCCAGTGTAGATCTTGAGCTCTTTAAAGTAACCTTTAAATTTAGAACTTCTTGATAGCATTAAATGTCTGTTGGTTTATTAAGATGTAAGCATTTACTAACCTAAGTCTATTTTGTTGAAAAACAATTGAATATAATTCTCGCTAACTAAGTATGCAAAATGATTCCATCCTCCTGTATTGACACTTGAGTTAAGAACAGTGTAGGGAGTAATAGTTTAATCTTAAATGTATTAGAGTTCCTTAGAAGCAGTGTACTTAAATAAGCAATCCCCTAAATTACATTCTGCATGATCAGCTATAATATATGATGTTGTTGCTGATTAAGTTAACACCCAAACCTCCACCAAAATATCTTAGTTATCAAGAGTTATTTCAATATTCCAACCAATTGCTGAGGTTTATGGGATAATATACTCGTTTTCAGCAGTTTCTGCTGTGCAAGATGTACCTGATACATATGTGCCTGTGGAGCATACGAAAAACGTTGAAGTATCCCATAATGTATTTTCATTTTCTATTGCTTACTATCCTAAGTTATTCACGCAATAATCTCTTATAATAGTAGGATAAGTTGGATTCCAATCAATTCTATAGTATTAAAGTAATCCAGCAGGTTAAATTGCATCTAGGTATTTTCTTCTAAACATGATCAGATCATGCTAACTTCTCATCGGACTCCAAGCTCTCAATTCTTTGATGTAGATTTAAGGAGTTAATGATTCTGCTGTAGATTTGGCAGCAATAAATATATAATCCTCAGAGAATTAGAAGTTGCTTGTGTAAGTATTTATAATTTACTCTTCAAATTTAATGTTCTACAAAAAAAAAACTTTGGCTCTATCTGGAAAATTAGAGTCTTCAATAAAACCTGTTGAGACGTAATTCCAATCTTGATAATTTGACAATACAGATGAAGTCATTGTCTAAGTTTTGATGAATTAATCATTAACTTGATGTTAGAGGCTTTTAGCAGCAGTGTCTAAACTAAATCTCATTTTTTCGCAGGCTAGATTAGGAGTTTCGCACTCACCATAAAGTAAAAATATCTAAGTAGGCAAGGTTAAGAATTTTATCCACATCTCTATCGTATAACTTTAGACATCTCTTTTAATTCCTTTAATTTTTATTCTTTTCTCTATTCTTAATGCTTTTGAATATGGAGTACTTGTATCTGGAAATGAATAAGCTGGGAAATCAATCTCTCTTTAAGCTTTCATTTGTTGAAGGTAGATTTCTTCCTCAAAATATTGATAATCAACGAATTATCCAGATATTCTATTGTTGTAATGAACATCCATTACATTCCTAATTCTATTGGTATAAACATACTAAATCTTATAGTATGCGACCATATAAGTTCTTTGAGCATCCACATTTTAAAATCTAAAGTTTATTCTAATGTTAAATTTACCTATAAAATATCTTATTCATATCGCTTAATGTGCAGGCGTAATTGTTATAAAATACGAAATCTCTTCCATACAAGTATGATCCTGGCTAATTTTACTTCCCTACTCCTACAAATTCTGATGTAGTACCATATGGGGACTAGAGAATTAAAAGTTTGAGATATTACTCGAGAAGATTGAATTGTACTAAAAGTTTTTGTCAGCCTTTATCCTAAGTTGAAATATAATGTAAAAGTGCTGATGCTTTTTGTCACACCTACTCTGAACCAAATACCTTATGTTACTGAGATTATCGGAGTATCAGTTTTAAGGTGAGTTGCCTTCCCTTACATATAAGGCACAGTTAATCTGTCAGATTCAATTCCAATAGTAACAGCCTAGTAAATATTCAATGGATATTGGGTGGTGCCATATCTGTCAATCATAACCCAAATGCTTGCTGAGAATTCTTCTATTTCATCATAATTTACCTCGCTGTGAAACAGATTTAAAGAATTGCCTTATAAAACATCATCAACAACTAAAAATATTTTTAACTAGAAAATAATAACCTCCTCAGACCTATGTGAACAATAGATATAAAGTTTAGAAGGTGTATAATAATAGTTTAAATCTAGCCATATTTTTATAATCAGTAAGAAATAATAGTTCATTATAAAATTTACTTGAATACATTTGACCTGATGCGAAACGCACGGGGTTTTGGGGTTTTGGGGAGATCG